ACCCAATCAGTTTTTCTTAAAAAAATCTTCCACGAAGGCAACCGTTCCCTTAAACAGATAGCCACCGCATGCTTGGCCATAATCAAATAAACCAAACCGACTCAAAACTAGCTTATCGAGAAAGAATCAACTAGAAGCTACTTAAGTAGGTAAATTTCTCTGATTGTTCGCCATTGTTAGATCGTAGGTATTTAATGTATATTTAATTATGGCAAAGCACACGAGGGCTATCTGCCTAAGGGGAGGGATGCCTTCGGGGAGGACTTTCTAAGGGAAACTGGCTCGTATACACTTTAGATCGTAGGAATCTCTGGATATAATTGTACGTTTTATGAAATAGTATATTTTCGAACTGACAATGAGTTACTCTTCGGAAAGGTAAGCAAATTTAGTTTAATACAAAATATGCTAAATAATAATTTAATTAAAAATACTTAAGGTACGAAGATGATTATATAGAATTCTTGAGACTGAAAGCAAAACTCATTAGATATCCGGATCCGAGAATCCGTAACATTATAAGGTATTTTCTTCCTCCTCGCAGCATGCCTTCCTAGTGTAACGATAGCACACCAGGCGCATATTTGAAAGGTCCAGGTTCGAGTGCCGACGAGGGAGGGCATTGCTCATTTTTCATGTCTCCTGGTTAAAAAAATAAAATAAAATAAAAATCTGAAAGATTAAAAAAAAATTTAAATTAATCTGAAAATTTTCAGATTTTAAATTACGCCCAAAGGGACATTTTTAACATTTTGTCTGTTACCTTTATTTATTAAATATCACGTTCTTCGCACTTTAGCCATAAAATTCAGTTCAACAGCAATGTCGCAAAATAGTTTTAAAATGAGCATTATCTTTAGAATTTCCGATACAGAGACTCACGCGCTGGAGATAAAAAGGTTTTTCTGTACAACGTTGCCATTGCTCGCTTTGAAATCCTCGAGTTTGTTAATCAAAAATTCGTTAAAGTTTTACAAAATAGGAAATCGATAATAAAACAAATTCCAAATTTCAAATTTGGTCTTTCACATGCCCATATGCGTAGGAGGTTTACATCATTCAAAATTGTATGTCTCTAGGAACCGTTGTTTTTACACAGAGCGAGAAGAAAACATAAATTTATGCAATTTCTTAATTATTTAATTTCTTCAAATAAAATACAGAGCGATAATATTTGGTGGCAACAGTTTGAAAAGTGAAACGGACATTCAGAGTGATTCGACGCAAAACGAAAACAATAGTCCCTCAGGAAGAAAGCCCTTTTGGCCTAAAAAAAGGCTTTAGTTTATATACCAGCGTTGAAGTAGAGAAATGGGTGAAGCGACTGGCCTCGCAGTGGCGAAAGGCAACAGACCTCTGAACAACCAGTTGTTCTGTACCTTGGTTTGAACTCAGTAAAAGAATCAAAGAATCCATTTAACGTTGTTTGGATTAACACTATTTACAAAGAAAGTTATGTGGTGTCCTATTTGGCTTATTGCGTCCTGGAGCTCCTAGATTGAGTGATAAACGTGGGATAGAACATAAAAGAAAAGCAGTTTAAATGCATTTTCCTTTGCGGACAGAATGTAAATCCTATCATCTTAAACGTGGATGATTTAAGGGTCAGTAATGTTTCGTTAAAACGTTTGAAAAACAAAAAAAAAAAAAGAAAAAAAAAAAGAAAACAAGAAAAAAAAAAAAAAAGAAAAAAAAAAAAAAAAAAAAAAAAAAAAAGGAAAACACTAAAGTTAAAGAATATCCATACCTTGGTGAACAGAATAAAGAATCATTTACGTTGTTTGGATTAACACTATTTACAAAGAAAGTTATGTGGGTCCTATTGGCCTTATTGCGTGTCCTGGAGCTCCTAGATTGAGTGATAAACGTGGGATAGAACATAAAAGAAAATCAGTTTAAATGCATTTTCCTTTGCGGACAGAATGTAAATCCTATCATCTTAAACGTGGATGATTTAAGGGTCAGTAATGTTTCGTTAAAACTTGCAGAAATTCTGGAAAAACAGGAAAAATTCACTAAAGTGTTAGTAGAAGATATCCATACCTTGGTTTGAACTCAGTAAAAGAATAAGAATCCATTTTTTAACGTGTTTGGATTAAACTTACAAAGAAAGTTATGTGGTGTCCTATTTGGCTATTGCGTCTGGAGCTCCAGATTGATATAAACGTGGATAGAACATAAAAGAAAAGCGTTTAAATGCATTTTCCTTGCGGACGAATGAAATCCTATCATCTTAAACGTGGATGATTTAAGGGTCTAATGTTTCGTTAAAAATTGCAGAAAGAATCTGGAAAAACAGGAAAAATTCACAAGTGTTAGTAAAGATATTCCAACTTGGTTTGAACTCAGTAAAAGAATCAAAGAATCCATTTAACGTTGTTTGGATTAACACTATTTACAAAGAAAGTTATGTGGTGTCCTATTTGGCTTATTGCGTCCTGGAGCTCCTAGATTGAGTGATAAACGTGGGGTTGAACATAAAAGAAAAGCAGTTTAAATGCATTTTCCTTTGCGGACAGAATGTAAATCCTATCATCTTAAACGTGGATGATTTAAGGGTCAGTAATGTTTCGTTAAAACTTGCAGAAATTTTGGAAAAATAGGAAAAATTCACTAAACTGTTAGTAGAAGATATCCATAGTTTGTTATATCCGATTTTCATACCTTTGGAAGTTCTCTATAGCAGTATAAATTAACAAAGATATACATAGTATAGGATAAATATACAGAAAACTGGTAAATGGTTTCATTCGTTATATCCGACAACCGGATTCGTTATAGTGAGGTTCGACTCAATTAGTTAGCTCCTAAGCTTCAACCGCATATTTTTGCTGTATAATAGTCGAATAATTTCCTTAGATGTAGGCTTGCTAAAATTAAAGCGATATCTGATAGAAGTGTAAACAGTATGTGTGAAATTCTAAAATACTTCTATATCCACTTAATTGTTTAGTTATTCATATTTAATTCAAGTAAAGATAACAGCTAGGAGATAAAGTAATCAAAATGAAAACTGAACATTAGATAAAAGCTCTAAAGCTGTCCGACTGGCATCTAATCCAGACGTGACAAATGCAACGTACGCCACCATAATACGAATCGAGAACAGGTTATGAAATCAAAGTCTCAATAATCCTTTTTTCATTTCTGCGAGACTAAAACAAGGAATCGAGTGTCTCAGAAAGAAAAAAAAATCCTTCTTTCGAGCTTATTGGATTTAAGAAAAGTGTTTTGATTTTACCTCAATTTGTAACCGCCAGTCACTTGCTACGAGGCAATCTCGAATTTCATTTAGTGGGAAAAAGAACACGCTCTCGTCATTCTAAACCGTCGTCATCCATCTTTTGAAGCGAATAAAAAGAAATTGTATTTAACACAAAAATAAAGCCCTGCCATAGACTTCTCTTTTCCTAGATAAATGATGGGGAAAGTACCTCGAAGTGACGTGTGGAGGAATATAATAAAAATCTAGAATCGCGCGACTAGTGTGGGCTACGGCTTTATTCGGGATCATTCAAGGAAGTTTGAAACTGGAGGAAAAAATTATTAATTTTCCTTTCTTGTAGAGAAATGTTACAGAATGGCTTTCTTTTTTGCATGTAGGAAGGAGGATTTTTTTTTTTTTTTTTTTTTTTTGTCTCAGACACAGTGGCAACTTCTAAGGATATTAATTACTTGTAAAATAGGATTTCAGTTTTTGTTTTCATTTCAATAATTAATATTTGAAACTTATGGGTGGCAACGAGCTCAAAGTCTAATTTAACTATCTTTTTAGGAAACTAAGTGATTACGCAGACTCTGAAGAAGCTGTATAAGAACAGACTACCAAGTCTTTATTTGGGAATGAAATTTAAAAATGCAGTAAACTCTTGCGTTGAGGTTACGTCTTTAATACATAGCGCGTAAAGCAAAATCGAGTTCCACAAAATTTATTTTCGATTAGAAAGAATATATTAAATATAATTCAGATTAAGAAAGTACGTGTAATTTAAACAAATCTAAATATTGTTGTAAAAAAATGTTAATTGAAAGGATTTTTATTGCTGCTTAATAAGTACGTAATACAATTATTCTCTTAAAAAGCTTCTGATTTTTGCTCGAGACGATGACAGAAACAATTCCTTAACAGTTTTACGGTAAAGAGCACAGAGGTTTTCGTAAAGTTTCCTTTTCTTTTTTAATTTGGGTTGCATTGGAAAATCAGTGAGTTCTTGTGCATATTTCAACAACTCATTTAACTTTTTAAGGCTGGTCGAGATCTGGTTTGGCTTCGTTTATTTGATTATGGCAAAGCACTCGGGGGAGGAATAATGCCTTCGTGGAGGACTTTCTAAGGTAAATTGGCTCGTGTACACTTTACACATGTGGAAAACCATGAAATGCTCGTCACATATCTACCAAGAACAGAAACCTCATCTCTTACCTGATATTTTATATTTAGTTACATAGAAATGCTAACATTTCCTTCTTTTTTTTTTTTTTTTTTTTTTTTTCCCGTGTGTGTGTGTGTGTGTGTGTGTGTGTGGTTCCTGAGTATGATTCCGGATTTTATTAGCAAATACCTTGGTTAATTTTTGTGGTACGGGAGTCAAATGTTTTACGCTTTACTTTTTTCATAACGAGTAAAAAATTTTCATAAGTGTAGGAATAGGCAGTGCATGTTAAAAAGTTAGATTTCATAATATTAATAATATTACTGATGTCTTTAAAAATGCCAAAACATAAATTTTCACATCACTTAAAACAGTTTTGTAATTGGAGTACATGTCTATGACGAATGGCGAAATAAAATACGACGGATATAAAGGTCGGGTAAGGATGTTCATGGACACGACGTATATAACAATTTAAAATAATTAGGGTTATTTTTTAATATCATTGTATAATAGTACTATGATTAATATTATAAATCTAAGCATAGAATGAAATTCATTAATTAATACATTTTGTAGATGATACCAGTAAGTAAAATTATTATTATTTTTTGTTTACTTCTTCAGACAGGTCTGATCAGAACAGAAAACCAGGAATATTTCATAGAACCGTATCATGGACACCAAGGTAGCCCTTCTGCTGGACAGACGCACGTACTGTACAAAAGATCTGCTCTGAAAAGCTTAAAAACTGGAAACGAAGGCACTTGTGGAAATGTAGGTAAGAGATAAAAAACAAAAATTTCTCTTTAATTATGCCACATAAATTAGAGCAATTTTTGTTGAAGTTAAATTTACAGATTTCCTTCCGGATGTCTTCATTTCTGTTCGAATCTCCATAGACTGAGGAGGAAACATGGTACTTGTGTATTACCCAGTATCCTACAGTATATCGCCAAGTATTGCTGGCGCATTTTGGCGATGAAATATATTTTATATATATAAGCAGATCGATGAAAATTAATTGATACCTGCTGATACATCGCCAGAAGTATCACCTCTGATTCTGATAATATTCGACAGTTCCTAGAAACTATTCTCGATTCTTCTAGAAAAAGAGGATATTTTTATTTCTTTCACTTTTTTTGGTAATGTTCTTTCTCTTCCTCCCTTCCGTAACTTTTTCCTCATGTGAAACTAACTTTATGTATTGAAGGCATTCAGAAATCAGAAAGAAACAGAAAAACAAATCCACAAGTTCTACCCTTTTCTGCTTTGCCTTAAATAGCAAATTTTAAATTTCCATAATAAACTAAATTTCTTTGAGCCTTATTTAATTACTTTAAATTAGCTCCGTTCCGTCCCCAATTTTGATGGGAGGGGTCCGAAGGTCTTCCACCCCTCTCCCCTTCCACCAAACCACACGAGAGGACTCTCGGCTATCCGCGTATTTAAAGTGCCGCCGTGCCGTACCGACACTATACATTTACAAGCATCCATGCCTTCTCCGGGATTCGAACCCAGACCCTTCGGCACGGCAGTCAGAGACGCTAACCACTATGCGGGTTGGGCGGCTTCTTAATATTATATCATTAATATTATTTCAACATGAAATTCAGGCCAATTACTATATCTATATTCCATCACAGAAAAGCGGTTAGTGACTGTGACTACCGTACTGAATGACCCGGGTTCGAAGTTCAGAGAAGGCATGTATATACACTGCTGGACATTGAAAATGCAACGCCAAGAAGGAGTGGTCAGAAAGTGATGAAATTTGGAAAAAAGGCACAGACAGCAAGCAGCAACAAGTGATCTTTATTTTAAACTCACAGTCAGAATACAGAACGGGAACGCGTCGGCTTAGTAGGATGTTATGTTATGTTATTTTATGTAGAAGTCAGGGAGCCACCTAATATTTACCCTAAGTAAGCAGGGCTCAGTAGTAGGATGTAGGACAGCCGTGGACACTGATGCACGAAGAAACACGTCTACGCATAGAGTCAATAAGAGTGCGGATGGTGTCCTGAGGCATGGCTCTCCATTCCCTTTCAACCATTTACCACAGTTCGTCTTCTGAACGAGGCAGGGGCAGAGTCTGCAAACGGTGTCCAATCACATCCCACACATGTTAGATTGGTGACAGGTCAGTACGGCGGCCAGGAAAGCATCTGTATACCTAGCAGAGCATGTTGGCCGATGCGAGCACTGTGTGGTCGGGCGTTATCCTCCTGAAAAATTGCATTAGGCAGCCCCTGAAGGTAGGGGATTGCTACCGGCCGCAGTACATTATCCAAGTATCACTGGACGTCATAGTGCCCTGAATACGAACTAGAGGTGACCTGGAATCGTAGGCAATAGCGCCCCAAACCATTATGCCACGTTGTCGCGCGGTGGGGCGTTCCACAGTTACTGCCGGAATAGATCTGTCTCCATGTCGAAGCCACATACGTACGACTGGCGACTGTCACTGCATAAACGGAAGCGTGACTCATCTGAGAACACGACGTTTCGCCATTCTGTCATCCACATCGCTCCAGTCCCGCACCATTCTAAACGTTGGCGTCTGTGCTGTGGGGTCAATGGCAGTCTTCTTAACAGACACCGTGAGTGCAGGCCACTTTAAAGCAATTGACGGGAAATGGTTCTGGTCGACACTGTAACATCCAGGGTATCTTGCACATGCTGCAGAATCGCGGTACAAGTGACTTGCGGGACCGCAACAGCTTGTCAGCGGATGCGTCGATCCACGCGTGCTGACGTCACTCTGGCTGCACTTGCATCCCTCCTTCTTCCCACATTTCCTTGTTCCAACCATGTTCGCCATAGCCGATGCACCGTGCTCGCATCCATGTAGGTATCAGCTGCGATTTGACGTAAGGACCAACCCGCCCTTCTCAGTCCGATCACCATACCCCTCGTAAAATCGTCTATCTGCTCGAAGTGCCTTCGTTGACAGCGGGCTGGCATTCTCTCCTATTACACGTATCCTCCGGGACAAAAACCAACTCAACTTTGATAATTCGTCTGGCAGACATAACGATACAAATATTGTACATTCTGCACGTTCCTTCCCTTATATCTTACTTCACATGCGTCGGAGAGCTGCGCCTTTCACATCATTCGCATAACTCAGTGACGTGCGTCTACTCTAAAATTTGCATAAATTTCTGACCACTCCTTTTTGGTGTTGCATTTTCAATGTCGAGCAGTGTAATTTATCCGTCTCTTCGTAACAGGCAACAGTGGGCCACGTACTAGGTGCCTCCATAATAAAGAGGCCACCGCTTCCATCTTTACTAGTGGTCAACGCCTATAAACGGTTAAAGCCTGCCACTGAGGGGCCGGGGATACATTTTAAGGCAAACCTTTCTTTGCGGAAAATTCTCCGGACAATGTTCGTCTCGTTTAATTCCCCCCTTCATTCTATTGCTAAATTCGCTGATAAATGGTTTTAGTTTGGTTTCACTTGATTACAGCACAACACTCGAGGGCTATCTGCCTAAAGGCAGGGATGCCTTCGTGGATCTTTCTAATAGAAACTGGCTCATACACACGTTACATATAAAAAAAAACCGCGGAAACATCCATGCAGCCAGGTTCGAACTCCGGACCGAACGACCAATATTCAGCGATTTTACCGCTTGGCCGTTAATGGGTCCGCTGAGAAATGAAGTAGAAGCAATCATTATTTTAGGAATTTTGGGTTATTGATTTCCAGGGAGTATTGCTTCGCCATCGGATTTAAAAACATATACGATTACTTTTTTTCTTCGTAGCTCCTTTGTGTATACATTTGAACTCTGTTAAATAAGAAGTCGAGTGATTTCTGTCGTACCAAATTTCAGTCCTTATACTTTATACTTCGACAATACTTTGCCGTTAGTTTTCTTGATCTTATCATACATAGTCTGTTGTGTACATGTTCAATGTGTAAAAAGGACAGGGCGGAGGTATGCCGCCTGGTGTAATCTCCGCGGGTTGTAAATTTCGCTTCCCAGTGCCCCCCTACATTAAAAAAAAAATTTTCATTTCTAAATTGTGTTCCTCGGTGATCCTATAAGTTCTGCAAATTTGCTGCCCGTAAATTCTGCTACCCAGTGTCTCCCCTAAAATTAAAAAAAATTAACATTTCTAAGTTTTGTTTCTGGATGCTTCTTTAAATTAAAAAAAATTTTGCCCCCTTAAATTCTGCCGGCCGGTCCTCTTTGATTTCTCCGCATATGGTTAATTAAAAATGCATTGACGTTTTACAAAATATGAAATAAATAATAAAAACTATATAACGTCATTTTATGAAAATACTGACTATTTTTAATTAGTTAGATAATGAATTAAATGCGTTTTTATTATTTAAATCAATCCGATTCAAAATTAAGAAACGAATATTCTTAAGAATTTCATCAGTTGTTTTGAAAAAGCTTAGTTTATTAAACCTCAACAGACAAAATAAGTTTTAAAGATAAAATATCTTACATTTTGTTAAATGGCTCTCTGTTTAGACTCGAATAAAAAGTGAAAAGACGCATTTATAGTGATTCAGTGCAAAATCGCGTTTCGAGACTAATAACCCTTTTGGGCTGGTAAAAAAAATATAAATAAAGAGTAAAAAATAAAAAAAAATTCTGAAAGGTTTCAGATTTTAAATTCCAAAGGGGCGTGTTTTTAACGTTTTGTGTGTTATCTTTATTTATTAAATATCATGTTCTTTGCACTTAAACCATAAAATTCAGGTCAATAGCAATGTCGCAAAATAATTTTAAAATGAGCATATCTTTAGAATTTCCGATACACAGCTCCGCGCGCTGGAGATAAAAAAGTCTTTTTTTCCCCGTAGAGTGTTACCGTTGCTCGTTTTTAAAATCGTTGAGTTTGTTATTCAAAAATTCCTTAAAGTTTTAGAAAATATGATATCGATGATAAAACAAATTCCAATTCTTTCATATGCCCGTATTCGTAGGAGGTTTACGTCATTCAAAATTCAATGGCTCTATGTACCGTTGTTTTATCACAATGTGAGAAATAGACATACATTTGCATATTTTTCATTATTTAATTTCTTTAAATATAATGCAGAATTCTAACATTTTTTGGCAACCGTTTGAAAAGTGAAACGGACATTTATAGTGATTCAAAGCAAAATCGCAAAAAGAAAACAATAGTCCTTCAGGGACGAAGCCCCTTTGGACTAAAAAAATAATAAAGAATAAAAATGAATAATTGAAAATAAGTTTGTCAAAATAAAATATTACGAAACACCACTGAAGTAGAGTTACTAGGGTAAAATGATTATCTAACACGGAAATCCTAATTTATTATTATTAATATTGAAATATAAAAATCCACATGATTTCTTTATGTATATATATATATACTGTATATATACTGTATATATATGCAAAGGTACCTTTGCATTTATCTTAAAATTTTCTTATTTACGTAAATTAGTAATTTTTTGAAGGAAAGATGTCTTTAAAATCTCTTTTGATTGCTTAGTAACTTTATGCAAGTTAAAACTATTTTAAATACGCGTGCAGTGTTTTAATTTCGTGAAGAAATTCAGGCAGTTGGTTAGCAGATGTGATGAAATACAAAGCATGTGTGCATCTGATGATTCTAAGGAATTAATATGCGTCAGATTTCACTCGTGCGTGTTTCTGCATTTATTTCACACAGATTTCGAATCTGTTCCTAATCTGGTATCTTGATTTCAATGCCACTTCTGTATACTCTTCTACAACGGACTTGAAACTCGGATTTTCCATTTGCTATGCTTTTAAT